ACTAGACTCTGGTGTTGACTCAGACTGCTCTGGGAGACTGGCCACTTGAGCATAGGTATTCAGTGTGGTAAACTAACCACCAGTTTAGGCTCTATGACCACTACTGACTGCAACCAACAGGCAATTATTATTATTACAGAAGCATCTAAAGACCCCATTGTGCCAGGCACTGCACAAACATGTAATCCCAACGAGCTTACAAAGTAAATAGTCAAGACAGACAAAGGGCAGAGACAGGAAGCACACAGAGAGCTTCAGGGTATGTCTGCACTGCAGTAAAAACAACCCGTGGCACCAAGTCTCAGAGCCTGGGTCAATCGCCTTGGGCTGCGGGGCTAAAAATAGCAGTCTAGGCATTTGGGCTAGGGCTGGAGCCTGGGCTCTGAGACCCATCCCCATCACCTGGGCTTCAGACTGAGCCCACACATCTACACAGTGACTTTTAGCCCCATCGCCCAAGCAACGCAAGCTTGAACCAGCTGAGCTAGGCTAGCCACGGCTGTGCCGCAGGTCTCGTATTGCAGTGTCAATGTGCCTAAGTGACTTGCCCAATTGATTTCCTGAGTTCCAGCACAGCACCTTAACCATGCAGCAAATCCTTACAGAATAAAATGTTAAAAGAAATTTGCCTCTGTTCAGACTCCTACACTCCAGCCCACCCAGCCTTTCTAAACAGTGCAGGGGTCAATACTGAAACATATCAGCAATGCCAGATCAAGGGCATGTGAGCAGCAGGTCTTGTGCTTTTTCAGAGTGGGGATGTATGATCTACTTTTCTCCTCCAGGTTGTTGTCACTTGTATCCAAGTGGAAATATGCAGGCTGCCAAATACACTATTTGAGACATAACCCAATTAAGTATTCAGGAAAAATCCAGGTCAGATACTCATCTGCATGGTAACAAAGGAGGGTCCAATCAGGACAAGTGAGACCATCTACCTCCTAGATGCTGGTCTCTGTGCTTGTAAAGCATCTAGCAAGTTTTGGGTGGTAGATAAATAAATAAAAATAATAATAGATGTCTTCTTATATGAAACCAATTTGTGACCCATGTTGTTCATGGTCAAAACCTCTGGCTCTGGGACAGATGAGAATACGTTCTGCTTACTTTGGTGTGGCGCCAATGATCTTCCAACTAGTTGTTTTTTTTTCAGACAGAAGCAAATAGGCAGCTTTGCACTTGGCAAGGCCTGCGACCTGGCAGAGAGGGGAAAATGGGTTGGTTATTGCCTTCCTTTTTTGGTCCCCTTGCTGGAGTGGGGAAGGGATCAGGCTGTGAATTGCTTCCCCTTCTAATCCTGCTGACTGAGAAAGGGTGGGAGGAAGGGAAAGAAATTAGGCCATGTACGCCTTCTCCTCTGGTACCAGTTCTGCAAAGGAAGAAGAAACTGGGCCATGATTCACATCCCTCTCCACACCAATTGTCAATAGGAGAATGAATCTATTACCTCAGGTGTTTCTAAGGCACCTATCATTGCTATCTTCCCCTCCTGCTGCCTTATTGTTATCTGGTGAAAATGGGACTTTTCTGGTGAAAATGGGACCTACTTTCTCTTCTAGGAGAACTTGTACTATGAGCTACTGCAGCCTACCTGGAGCCCACAAAAGAATACGGGCTTGACTGGCTTCCAGCTGCACCTGCAGAAGCAGGCATAATATTGAGAAGACACAGGAAGCTTTGGAATATCTCCCAGGAGCTCACAGAAGCAGATGAGAGATTCCAGACATCTCTGTATTTTCTACTGTGTTTGGTGTACAAAGACACCATTATCTTTCTGCTGCAGAAATATTAAATACAATTACAAATTATTAAGTATAACTGTAGTATCTTCAGTATATTATCTATCAAATCTAATCTGTTTCTGCAGATCTCTCTGTCAATACTATTTTCTTTCCAGTGTGTAATGATGAGAAAAAACATAGACACCTGCTGTATTTGTCCCTTTTTTCAGCTTTGCAAAATTCCTATTTCCTGGCTGACTTGGTGCAAGGTGTTTTTGTTGTCAACAGACTAGCACAATACTGTCAGTCTTCCCAACAGATCTGTCTCCACCACTCTGGTATGGGAGGGCAAACCAAATGTTGTGCCCGAGCTGGTGAATTTTCACCCCAGCTTTGCAAAGCTGCCCTTGATCACGGCTGCAGGATCACCGATGGGGCACCAGACTCACGGGCACTTTGTTCCAGCTGCTCCACAGCATCACTAGTTTTGAACCAAGTACAAGTTGAGACATAGTGTTGAACAACAAGTTGATTAGATACTAGGAGGAAGGTTTACTCATTCTCCCTATTGGAACCTCCTAGTGTGCCATGCAAATGAGTACCTGACCTGGATTTTCAATAAGGGTTCAGCCAGTTAGTGATGCTTTTTTACATATTATGGCACAAACCCACAGGCTTTTGGTAAATGACATACAGTGAAAGGGTCTATGATGGCTTTAAGAAGCCATTAAGAATATGCGTAGGAATACCCTTATGTTTTGTAAGGGCCACAAGAAATAAGATGGAATGAGGCAGAAGTTGGTAAGGATACCTCATAACCGGGGCAAAAGCTTGGTGCCCTCAGAATTTACTTGTCCTTTTTGTTCTAAAGGTTGATGCTGGATAGGGCACTTTGTGTTACATATTGTTTGAAATAGTTAGGCCTAAACTGCAAACCTGAGATCTTCCTCGGGACTCCCAGACACCCCAAAGTTCAGTTGAAGGATTTCACTTCTGCCTGTTGCAGGGATAATGCCGAAACATAAAACATTTGGATCTGGGTGCAAACATTCCAGATCACCTAGCTCCCTCCAAAGCACAGGGATACTCAGGTCTGGAAGGCTCGGATAAGTCCATCTGACACTCTAAAGGATTGATAGAACTGCTTAAAATCTATTTATTTGCCGAGGCGTGGATCCCAAATGGAAACTCTTATTATTCTTTCCCAGAAAGAGCAGGGCATTGTTTTATGTTTACATTGTCTTTGCATCACATATGTAAACTGCACATTGTATGGAGTACTAGAACTATGCTGTCATCATTGTTTCACATTCAGATCAGGGTAGACAAGAAAAAGCAACACAAAGATTAGCCACAGTACTTCTCATCCTATAAGTAATCAGATAACTTGATAAAACCTATTCTGAGACATCATCTTGCTGTAATAGAGTATTTAATGAACAATCTGATTCCATTTAACTAGTGAGTTACTGCAAGCAATTATAGTATCCTAACAGTCCTGGCCATGATGCATCTGTCGATTAGAAAAACAAAGCTTCTGCATCATTTTATCTAATTCCTATCATTTACTAGATTCTGATTATACGCAGCTGATCAGGCAACCACTGTGCTTTCCCCTCTGCAGCTCCTGAAGTGTGAGAACTCGCTAACAAAACTCACAAAGCCAGCACCTTTTGCTCGTCTAAAATCCCTCCTTAGAACCTACCTCTGCCTTAAACCTGCAAATGACTCCTCCCTGCTGTCAGATAGGCTGGCAGCCTCCCACAACTGCGGAGACCACAGAGACTTCTAATTTATGCAAATCTCTCTCTCTGTTACCTAGTCCGCCCTCATCCCCTTCCACCACCATCTGTCGCATTGTTCACCTGCTGCATATGGTTGAAATCCCAAATGGTGAGTTTTCTGGGTCAGGGACCTTAGTTTTTTTGTTTATACACGTTCTAGCACAATGGAGCCCTGATCACTGAATGGGATCTGTAGGCATTGCTGGAATATGAATAATAATAAATAATAATACAAAGCAGAACTTTTGCTACAAAGCTCACTGGCAGGGGGGTGATCGGTCTGATTTTTAAACCAGTGGAGTCTTCCACTTCTCCACATCACAGGTTACAAATGGCTCGTTCCTGAGGAAACACTTGGCATGAGCCAGCTCACATTTAGGTCTTACTCCATTCCTGCAAGGCAGCCCATCCATTACAAGAGCTGAGAGAAGGAAGGAGAGGCAGCTTGCTGTCATCTGTGACTGGGAGAAACCCTGGATCCAGCAAACATGGAGTCTGACCAAATGCTCCTGCACTGTCAGCACTGATCTTGAAATTTCAACATATCCGTCTGGCCTGCACTTATCTGCAACAGATAGTCTAAATGCACTGTTACGGGAAAACAGGGCAGTACAACGCCCAGGAGCGTATTATATCGTCTCAGGGAGGATTGTGTGACTTAGAAGTGGCGCAAGAAGAAAGCTTGCAGTGCTGGAAGGTGCAGGTGTTTACTTCTTTCTGTCCAGCTATTTACCCTTGGATAGTCTAAACCAACTCCCACCTCCAAAGGAAGAGAGACTAAGTGAAGCTCGCCTATTCATATGCAAAACAAAGGCCGTAAATCTACATGGAAGTTTCCTAACTGGGCAGCAGCACACAGAGGGAACTGATCCTTAAAGCGACAGTTCTGTAACTTTTACCGTACCAAAATGACAGTGCTGAAACTTTTAAAATAAGTGGAAACATTCACTGGGTTTGATGGGGGAATGATGGGAAACTCACCAAAAAACAAAAAAAAAAACAACCCCAGAAAGGAGGTCAGGAAGGATGTTTTAGAGCCTGACCCATGCATGGCGACACAGCTGGAATGTGTTTTCAGATGCTCTCACCGTGTCACGTTTCTAAGGTTAAGGGAAGAAGCAAAGTGCCCTGGAAGCCAAGGAGTGTGCTTATTTGTTTTGCTGCCGGCTGCAGTTCAGCAGTACCAACTAGGGCTGTCCATTCCCACAGCTACCAGCATTGCCCTAGGGGTGAAATTCATCCTCCCTGTGCAGAAAAGGCCAGCACAAAGCATATGGCCCACTGAAGGCCCCCTTAAGCACTATAAGAAGGCTTAAGGGCACACAAGCTTTATTCTAGCCCTAGGCACAGGGATGACTTTCACCCAGAGTTCCTCTGAGAAAAGATATACAAAGGAAACAACTCACATTTACAACGCAAAATAATGTGCATTATACAAAGAGAGGCAAAGCACAAAGAACAAACCAAGAGCAAAACAGAGCCATGAGACACTTACCTGAGATTGTAGAAGATGCAAGATCTATTCGCACAGGCCCAGAATATTTATTCAGTTTCTTCTGTAGGACACTATCGACTTTTCCCAGGAATGCTGCTTTGTTATCAGTGGCGGAGAAAAGGAACGTGAGCACAACCTGTGCCATTACTCCGCCAATGTCAGGGCTGCAAACCAACAAGACACAGGTAAGTGACTTACCTGCTTCTCTCTTCCTACACATCCTGGTTTTTCATTAGATCCTACAGTGATTTCAAATTAATTTAAGGGATTATGTAGATTGCCATAGATTGTGTAAAGAGAGAGGGAAGTGCTGAAAAATCTGAGCAGGTGCCAGGACTAAACAGATTTATGCAAGAAAGCTACACCCAGGGAGAAGCAGGTGCCAGGACTAAACAGATTTATGCAAGAAAGCTACACCCAGGGAGAAGCAGCCCTTCTTATGAATGGGCAGCCAGGCCAAAATTCCCAACCCTGGGTGCCTAGAGACGGGTCAGTCATTCTGTATTGGGCACCCAAATAACCTGGTCACCTGCAGCTCCCCTTGATTTCAATGCGTGGAGACTCAGCAATTCTGAAAACATCAGACAGTTAGTGTAGGTGCCAGCAGCCTATATATGGTATTAGGGGGCTAATTTTAGGCACCCAGCTTTGAAAGTCCGGGCCACAGTAACTCACAAATAAAGGAATCTACAGGCCTTAGCAAAGGGGAAACCTGTGCAGCAGGGGAGGGGCTGACTAAAACCATTCTGCCACCCCAGACTTGGATGGAGATAAGGCTGAGTTCAGTGTCTCTGCCTGGGAACCCTGGAGCAGTGTAGGACTGCAGAAACTACATAGTAATCACTGAAACTCTCCAACAAATCAAGGGCCCACTTTAGTTACAACTGAAAAGTTCCCCCCAACTCCCCATAAGGGGCTTTTAACAACATAACAGTATCATTAAGAAGAACGGGTGGATAACTGGTTCCACATACAGACACCTCTGTAACTTGCAATGACTATTGCAGTGGTCTTTTTAAGACTGGGAAAAGGCAAGAGTAATGAGTTAATGCTAAAGAACCACAGGTTTAATCCAGCCAACATTTAGACATGTAATGTAACTTTAATAACGTCAGTGTTCTGCCAGACTAATACTGTGGCTAGATTTTAGAATGAATAGGATAATTTTGAACTGATATGTACATGATCTTTGTTAGTGTGGAAACTAGCTCACTGAGTAAGGTACTCAAAACTTATTCCCCAGGGTATAAACTCATCACTTGAGAGGATTAGGAAGAAACTCCTCCACATATGAATGACGGTGAAGGCTAAATTGACAGCAAAGGATCCCAGGTATAGACTCCATTGAAAGTAGGAAAGTTATACAAGGACTGAATTTGTTCATTATCATTATTTATTTATTACTTTCTCAGCAGCATCAGTTACTAGCCATTGCTAGAGGCAGAGTATTGAACTACCTAACTCATAGGTCTAATCCAGTATGGTAACTCTTATATTCCTACATGCTCTTTGTGTATATAGACAGGTTTCAGAGTAACAGCCGTGTTAGTCTGTATTTGCAAAAAGAAAAGGAGTACTTGTGGCACCTTAGAGACTAACCAATTGATTTGAGCATGAGCTTTTGTGAGCTACAGCTCACTTCATCGGATGCATACCGCATCCGATGAAGTGAGCTGTAGCTCACGAAAGCTCATGCTCAAAAAAATTGGTTAGTCTCTAAGGTGCCACAAGTACTCCTTTTCTTTTTGTGTATATACTTTCCCATGACTGCTGACCAATCTCTTTGTGTATATACTTTCCCATGACTGCTGACCAATTAAAAAGAGAGGGTGTGTCAAGAGACTCTCTCCTTTCCACTCAGCCTCTTCTTCCTTCCCAATTCATTAAGTGATGACGCAACCTACAGTTGGTGACATCAGTTACTTCACATTGGATTCTGTGCATGAATTGTGATACACAAGCTTTGTGTTTTAGTATCACTGGATGACTCAGACTGCAAGGAGAAGCTGATTGGAAACAGAGAGCTTCTGATAATTCTGTGACATCTTGGCCATCACAGTGCCCAGCACAATGGGGTCCTGGTCCAAAACTAGGGCTTTGAGGTGCTACTTTAATATAAATAAATAATAGACAGAAAAGGGAAATACATTAAAAAAAAAACATGATTCAAACGGCTTATACAGAATTCACTGAATCAGCCTCACAATGACAATCTGCAGCAAGCAGAACACTTCTCAAAACCAGAATTGGGTTTTCCTGTGATCTGCTGGTGCTGGGCAATGGAGAGCCCCATTACTTTATACTACAGTAACCACTCAAAAGGCACCAGGCATTTTACAGTCACATGGTCCCTGCCACAATCTAGACCCTGTAGCTATAAATGTCCTTTCCAGCAAGCTGTTTTGTTTAGCATCAGCATCAAGGTTATTATTATCATCAAGTGATTATCTTATCACACGTGTCACACTGCGTTTTTCCTCTTCCTTCCCCACCCCTACTTCCTGTGCTGAACCACACAGAAATTATGGTAAATTCTTGCAGGCATACCTCTCCAATCACTGAGATGGGTACCATTAGTCTCTAGAGGTGATCCTGGCAATTACAGACTGGTAAGTCTAACGTCAGTACTGGGCAAATTAGTTGAAACAATAGTAAAGAATAAAATTGTCAGACACATAGAACAACATAAATTGTTGCGCAAAAGTCAACATGGTTTCTGAAAAGAGAGATCATGTCTTACTAATCTATTGGAGTTCTTTGAGGGGGTCAACAAACATGTGGGCAAGGGGGATCCAGTGGATAGAGTGTACTTAGATTTCCAGAAAGCCTTTGACAAGGTCCCTCATCAAAGGCTCTTTCGTAAATTAAGTTGTCATAGGATAAGAGGGAAGATCCTTTCATGGATTGAGAACTGGTTAAAAGACAGGGAACAAAGGGTAGGAATAAATGGTAAATTTTCAGAATGGAGAGGGGTAACTAGTGGTGTTCCCCAAGGGTCAGTCCTAGGACCAGTCCTATTCAACTTATTCATAAATAATCTGGAGAAAGGGGTAAACAGTGAGGTGGCAAAGGTTGCAGACAATACTAAACTGCTCAAGATAGTTAAGACCAAAGTAGACTGTGAAGAACTTCAAAAAGATCTCACAAAACTAAGTGATTGGGCAACAAAATGGCATATGAAATTTAATGTGGATAAATGTAAAGTAATGCACATTGGAAAAAATAACCCCAACTATACATACAATATGATGGGGGCTAATTTAGCCACAACTAATCAGGAGAAAGATCGTGGAGTCATCGTGAATAGTTCTCTGAAGACGTCCACGCAGTGTGCAGCAGCAGTCATAAAAGCAAACAGGATGTTAGGAATCATTAGAAAAGGGATAGAGAATAAGACGTAGAATATCTTATTGCCCTTATATAAATCCATTGTATGCCCACATCTTGAATACTGCATACAGATGTGGTCCCCTCATCTCAAAAAAGATATACTGGCATTAACCGGTCCCATATGAGGAGAGATTAAAGAGGCTAGGATTTTTTAGCTTGGAAAAGAGGAGACTAAGGGCGGATATGATAGAGGTATATAAAATCATGTGTGGAGAAAGTGAATAAGGAAAAGTTATTTACTTGTTCCCATAATATAAGAACTAGGGGCCACCAAATTAAATTAATGGGTAGCAGGTTTAAAACAAATAAAAGGAAGTTCTTCTTTACACAGTGCACAGTCAACCTGTGGAACTCCTTGCCTGAGGAGGTTGTGAAGGCTAGGACTATAACAGGATTTAAAAGAGAACTGGATAAATTCATGGAGGTTAAGTCCATTAATGGCTATTAGCCAGGATGGGTAAGGAATGGTGTCCCTAGCCTCTGTTTGTCAGAGAGTGGAGATGGATGGCAGGAGAGAGATCACTTGATCATTACCTATTAAGTTTACCCCCTCTGGGGCACCTGGCATTGGCCACTGTCGGTAGACAGGATACTGGGCTGGATGGACCTTTGGTCTGACACAGTATGGCCATTCTTATGTTATGTTCTTATCAGCTCCACCTCACACTCCAGGAAATGTACATTAAAAGATCCAGAGCCAAACACTTTGAGACAGGGGACGTGTCGCCTGTCTCAGTAAGTGATGAGCATTGGTATGATTTATAGTGCACCACAGAGAGGCATGGCACTTCCTGGCCAAATTACAAATGACTGCCCTGTCCCAAAGAACCTCCAGGCTAAACACATAAACGAGTACTAGAGTTCAAACCGCTGATGCGGTCTCCTGGATCAAGGCCTGAGGCAGGATAATAACAAAGACTGGAGATATAAGGAGGGACCCACCCACACCAATACGATCATGAAGTAGCTTTGGTTTGTCTTGAGGGTTTAGTACATGTGAGTGAGTGTAATATTGTGACTGCCCAGGCACCTAGTCCTTATAGTACACTTTAAGGAGAGAACTGAAAATGAAAAATAAAATTCTACATTATAATGAAGGAATAAAGGCTTGACTCTCTCCCTTTCAGTTTTGGACAGCTCAGTGGCGTGCTTGCAGTATGAGCTACTGCCTACTGCAGATCCCAGCAAAACAATGCACCTAGTTTTGGTGTACATAAATTTCACCAATCTTCTCCGTCATCTACAGGCCACAACCAACCAATTCAAATGAGGTTTAGTGGTTAGCAGATTACATTCCTGCCTTGTTTAACCGAAGGTCAAAAGACCATCATGAACTGCGCTTTCAGGATCGACTTCCAGAGATGTAAGCGTGTATCCCTCCAATTCCTCCAGCAACTCAGATCGTACGCTTGGAAACTCCAGGCATAGTAATGGTGAACTATCAGCTAGACAGACTGTTCTCCATACTTCCTACGGCCACAGTCCTGCAATGAGCTCTGTGTGGCCAGACCCCTGCACCAGCAAGGAGCCCCACTGGAGCAAGGGTTAGCAGGCAACAGCAATTACCGTAGGTTTGGGGGGCCCCACAACTGGCTATTCAGCAGGATAGTCTGAGCTGGAACAGGATGTTGGGGCAGGATGAACACCCCATTACATCTTCTCCTGGATTTCCTGGCTGTAATTTTACATACCTCAGTCTGATAACACGTGACCGGATATATTTTTTTCTTAAAACAGAATTCTGAAATGTCTTGTCTATCTGTTGAAAGAAAGGGGAGGAAAAAAACCAGTTAAAAATACTCAGTGTAAACGGAGCGTGTGTGTTTACAAGGCACTCTGTTATAACAGTATCCAGCTGTAGGCCTGCTGCCTCCTCATGTAACAATTCACAAATTCATAGATAAAAAACCAGAAGCAAGAGTTCCGATCATCTCATCTGCCTTTCCATAGAACACAGGCCACAGGACTTCCTGGAACCAATTCCTGATTGGACTAGAGCAGATCTTCTAGAAAAACATCCGATCTTGATTTAAAAATTTCCAGTGATTGCAGTACCATCCCACTGCTATCCCCTGGCTCTTAGATACATGCAAGTCTCTCCTACATCACACACAGTGCTGCAATCCACGCAAGCCTTGCCTCCTAAGATTAGTTTGCCCTACAGAGTGCCTTTACAAGGACTGAACTGTGCTTACCTGACCCTTAACATGCACGTGTGGCAAGGCCCCTCCTTTACTTCGCTGGGCTCAACGCTCCCGCTCTGGCCATGGCGGTGGGGGTCCTGGAATAAATCAGTCCCACTCCGGAGAGTTTTTATTCCTCACTCGGGTTTTATTTTCCAGTGTGTACCGGGGGGCCTCAGGGTAAGCCCAAGCTGTACTCTTCAGCCAAACAAAGAAACAAACTTGGAACACAACAAGGGAATATCTTTCCCTGCCCCTTTTCGGGGGTGTCATCCCATTATGCTGCCCTCTGGGTGCCAGTCCCTAGTTCCGCTGTTTCCTCTAAAGGGAGGAGAGCAGCCTTCCCCCTCAGGAGAAGCCTCTTCTCCCTGCTGCACCTTGTCCCCCACCTCTCCTCCTCTCTCACCAGAAGACAGATGTAAAGGTCACAGGCAGCCCTTAATTGGACTCAGGTGTCTCTAGTTGACCTGAGGTAACCCCTTCTCAGCTCAGAGGGAAAAGGGCCTCCAGCATTCTAGGGACCTCCTTGTCAACCTCCTCCTAGCCCTGGCCAAAATGGCCATCTACAAAACCAGGGAGAGAAGGCTGGCCGATGGGGTTTCCTGTGACTGTGGGGCCTATTTCCGCTCCTCGGTCCGTTCATGCATCCGGGCGGAGTTCCTCTGGGCGGCGTCCGCTGGCTCCCTTGACACCTTCGAGGAGCAGTGGGCACTGTCCAGGGTTCTCTGTTCAGTGTCCCCGTCCAGTTCCCTTCGTTTAGCCCTGTGACCTCACTCCTGTTCCTGTTATCTCATTAGTTGTCCCCCGCAATTATTTGGAATCCTGGACCTGTGGATCCTCCCCTTAGGCTGGGGGAGGTCCTTTAGTAGTGGGCAGGCTTCCTGGATCCCAACAGGACCACACACACAAGTGACTGTCCTGAAAGAATAGCCTCTCCAGCTCCCACTGAAGGCAGTGGCCAAAGTCCCATTGATTTCAGTCAGACGCCCTCCCCACACACAACGTCCCTGCCTTCCACACCAACCTGCTGCCCCTTCATTTTTATTGTCAAAAACTATTTACATCAGAGGTTTATTTACACTAAAGGAAACAATCCCACAAAATGTGATGTTTGCTGGTGTTTGTCACACATTGCATCCTACATTTGGGCCCTGTGCGGTTGAAAAGGGCAGTAGCGTAAGACCGGCCCGAGAGAGTGCAAGCACATATATTACAATGTGGCCTGATACAAAGTCTGATCAGCATGAGTTCAGGATCACTGCATTACTCAGAAGTTGCAAAGCCATCAGTCAGCTGTGAAGTGCTGTCGTAGCCATGTTGGTCCCAGGATATCAGAGACACAAAGTGGGGGAGGTAATATTTTTTATTGAACCAACTTTGGTTGGTGAGAGAAACAAGCTTTCGAGTCATACAGAGCTCTCCTTCAGGTCTGGGAAAGATACTCCCAGCATCACAGCAAAATGCAAGGTGGAACAGATTGTTTAGCATATGCAGTTAACACATATTTCAAGGGCTCATTTAGGTGAAGTGGTCTGTTAATACCCCTCACGTCATGGGGGGAAAGGAAGGGAGGGGGGATAGACAGCTTGGCTGGGGGGCGTTGTTAGTGGGTTATAGATGGTTGTATAAGCCATAAATCCATAAATATAAGCCATAAATCCAGCATCTCGACTCACCTATGCAGGTCATCACACAAGTACCAATAAAGCCTTCATACCACTATGGATTCTCCACGTGTATTACAGAAAAACTGCTTTACAAATGCTTCACAGAGTTTTAAGACTGTGTATTATTAAAGATTTTTCATATCTTTTAGCCTTCCAAGCTAAACCATGTCTTAGCTTGGAACCATGTCTAACTGTACAGCCCGCCAAAGGAGAGAAAAAGAACAATGAACAAAAAGAACATTTAAAGGTCTGATATCTTGGAACCGTTCAGGTCAAGAAACAAGTGCTATGTGCCCCACTGGAAAGCTGGGGATCTTTCCTACTCAGGGATATAAAGCTCCTGTTCCTAGCTGAATTGTCATGAGCTATCAGACACTAAATCTGACATTGGTGCAGGCCTGAATATTGCCTGTACTCAGCCAGCATAATTTTGAGGTGAAAACTGCACATTTGGGGGAAAGACGAGGAATACTTTCTGGCAGGTTTTTTAGTGGTTTTATTTTTTTAGTGGCAGCTGTTGGAAGTTGCTCAGGGGTTTGGAATGTTAGCAGTAGTTCAGCAGGAGATGGATTAGTACACACAGGTGAGGCAATTGAAGGTGTATGCTAAACGCACTTTATCACATAGCTCTGCAGTTCATCACCTGCTTATCACCACAGTTTAAATGAAGGATGGATTTGCATATATATAGCAAGGGGCTGCATTTCCTGCAATTCTGCAGCCAGAGATTTTTTTTTCCACAGAGCCATCCCACTGCTGCAGAATTGGGCCCTATAAACTAAACCTTCACTTTTGACTAATTATGTTTCTTGCCCTTATGGTTGGAAAGAAAACCTTTAACATGTTAACTGCTTCATTGCTGATCATGTTAGTAGAAACAGGCAGCTGAGGTGCTGAGCCAGCTTTGTTGCGTGTAATGGCGGATCCTACGCTTTGAAGCTCTGTAGGGCAGGGCCTCTCTTGCTAAGTGTTTGTACAGTGCCCTGCACCATGGAGCTTCAGTCTTGGGTGCAATCTCTTGGTGCCTACGCAATACCAATAATACAGTGACTAATAGCAATGGGTTGGCTAGATGCTGTCAAGTGTTGCTGGGGTAGGGAGCTAGGAATTTAATCCCTCCAAAATATGTCAGATCATCTCTTCTGCCAATGAGAAAAGAGAAAAACATCTCCTCCCTGCTGCCAGAGCCCTCAATCTCCTCTGGGCTGTCCAAATCCTAAATCATCCCCACTCCTTCCGAGTGCCCCAGTACCATGACTATCTCCTGTGTAGCTATCCAGACCTCCAGGTTTCCACCTAGACCCCTTCTACCATGAATTTCTGCACCGTCATTAGCAAAAACTGCCATCTGCTGTCAACTGAAAACCTGGGGTCAGCACAGAATATCTCAAATTTGACACAATAAATGGTGCAGGGGAAATTGCACGCATTGGATTACTTGCTTTCATATCAGATTCCATAAACCCTTCCATCCTGAGTTGGTCTGAGGCGGATGCAGAATTCGGCACTGATGTGCTGCACAGACACCTGGGAGCCTTGCTGCAGAAGTTAGGTCCAGATCCTCAGCTGGTGTAAATCAATACCGCTCCACTGAAGACAAAGAAGCTGTGCTGATTCACGCCAGATGAGGATCGGGTTCAAAGACTTTACACACATCCCCACCCGCATCAGTGTAAATGTCTAGAACATTTAGATGTATAGATATTTTCTCTCAGCTTTTGTCCATCTATTTAAAAGCCATCAACTCCCAGCTGGCAGAATCACTGCTAACTGTACTGGGAAAGCCTCATCAGCCTTTCAGAGCACTTCTACATGTTGATACCACCAGATATGGCGCCTCCTTATTATCCTTTGTTTTCTTGCCTCTGTTTCTGACAGCTTGGACAACTCATTTGGTTTTGGGTAATTTGGACTCATAACATGCTCAGCTCCACCCTCCCTACATACACCCCATTCTGGAGCAGTATCTGAAAATACCGATCAGGAAATCTGTGACTTGCCAATATAGACAGAGGATGAATCATTGTTTTGCATCATACAGAAGAGTCAAACTAGCCTGAATATGAGTCAACCATTGGAAAAAAGTCTTTGTTTTCAGACTAAAAGAGATCAGGTGATCCAGCCAGAGATACCCAGGATGTCCTAGTTCCTTTCCCAATTATGACAGACACTGAACATTTCAAACCTGAGCAATCAGTGTAAGCAAGTAAGGCCAGTACTGGATTTCTGTCTCTCATTTGTGTAATTCCACACTTGAATGTGAAAGGGCATTTTCCCCCACACATTGAATGTTATCACTAATTTTCCTCCTTTAAGAATTACATCAAGACATCAGTACTAGTTCTTTCTTCTAATAACTCTGTTAATGTCTAATGGAACACTACAAAGGTGTTAAAGGAAATTCCTAAGGATGCAGGATCTACCAAAGGATGTGGCAAAAGGCTAGGAACTTCCCTTTGGGAAGTTTGCCAAAACCCACTTAACTATGTGGGTGAGATTTTCAAAAGCACCCAAATGACTCAGGAGCACAAGTCCTATTGACTTGCAAACATTGGTCCTATATCTCCAACCAGTGTCAGATATATTTATTCCACATTCGGGTTCGGAAACTGCTCTTCTTTTGTACCCTATTGGTTCCTTTGGATCTAGAGCTTGTTCTGAGTCTTTTTTTCCTACTATCACTATAAAATGTAACTAATCATTTGGTTCAATTGCTTTCTTTATAGCTTTTAAATTGAAAGTAATACTAAAATATTAATTACCAATTATGAGTGTTATTAATTACACATGATAGCTTCCATTTCCCTGTGTACTACATACAAGAGAATATACCCATGTAACATAATTTAATAAAAAGTTTAAGAGGGTGACATTTTACAAACACTTACAAACAAATGGATCCAGTTTAT